TCTTTTTAAAAAATCTCTAGAGTAATTAAAAAATCTATGCATGGAGAGATATTTTTAAAAGCCAATATATAAATTAAAATGAAATTCTGTAAAATAATAATAATACAAAAATCAAAAAGACCAGAAAGGAAAACAGGAGTGAAAAGCAGAGAGACAATTAATGATAAATGGTAGACCTAAATCCAATAATATAAAAAATTGTATTAAACTTAAATGGTCTAATATGGTAATTAAAACACAGAGATCAGCTAAAAAAAAAAACTTGATTGTATACTATGTACAAGAAACTATCTGAAACATAATGGAATATATAGGCTAAAAAGTAAAAAGACGGGGAAAAAATACACCATGCAAGCACTAAAAATTTTTTTTAAAAAACCTGGAGTGGCTTTGGTAATTATCAGAGCAGACTTCAGTAAAAGAAAATTTACCTTGTGGTTTATTATTGCATTTCATAGACGAAGTAATAAGAGAATAACTTGCCTAAAGTCACACACCTAGGAACTAACTATTGAAATTTAAGGAGAAACTTTCTAGCAATTAGGACTCTCCAAACTGAAGTAAGCTGTATTAAATTTATGCACATTTTTGACGGCTCTGCTTGTAATTTCAGAACCAGAAAAAAAAGCATTAAGGTCATCTAATGAAATGTCCCTACTTTTACTAACAAAATGAATTCCTAGTTAAAGGGCACAGAGACTACTTATATAGCTAGAGGCATATAGCTGAAACTAGAATCCAAGTCTCCTTCTGAACATTGCCCTTCTCACTATAACCAATGCTCACATTCTACATGATGTCTAAGGTTTATTTTTAATCCCATGAAATATATGTGTTTTCATGAATTGTTTAACACTGTAAGTAAACACAGCTAACTGGGTGAAGTGGAAAATGCCTGCCAAATCTGTTAAATTAAAAAAAAAAATTTTAAGCAGCTAAAGGGAACCAAGGTATATAATATTTATTTTATTTTATTTTTTTTAAAGATTTTATTTATTTATTTGACAGAGACACAGCGAGAGAGGGAACACAAGCAGGGGGAGTGCGAGAGGGAGAAGCAGGCTTCCCGCTGAGCAGGGAGCCCGATGCGGGGCTCGATCCCAGGACCCTGGGATCATGACCTGAGCCAAAGGCAGACGCTTAACGACTGAGCCACCCAGGCGCCCCGGTATATAATATTTAAATTCTCAATTCTCAAAAACCCTGAATTACATTGGATTACATTAGTTTTGTTTTTAATCACATTTTAGAGAATTTATAATTAGTGGGATCCTCAGATTTTAGCATTAAGTTATGTAGAAGAGAGCACATATTGCAAAGACTCCAAATTTGGCAGATGACATTAAGCATCTTTTGGTTTAAAAAAAAGTCTCCTGAATGCAGAATAAGCCTGAGAAATGGTTATCAAGTGGAGGCTATCAATGTAGGCTTATCTAAAAAGTAATTAGAGGGAACCAGAGAGTGAAAATAGACTGCTTTAAACTTAAAAGAATAAGCAATTGGGCTGGCATAAAACTTGTAAATAACAAAATAGAGACCAGAAAACTGTAAAAAATATATTTAATATAGTAAACAAATTAATATTTATAAATATTATGTATATATATAAATACATACACACACAGTTGACCCTTGAACAACATCGGCTTGAACTATGCAGGTCTACTTTTACACAGATTTTTTTGATTCAGGAAGTACTGTAAATGTTATTTTCTCTTATTTTTTTTTAATGATTTTCTTAATTTTCTTCTCTCTAGGTTACTTTATTTTAAGAGTACAGTATACAATACATATGACATACAAAATGTGTATTAATCAACTGCTTATATTATTGGTGAGGCTTCGGGTCAGCAGCAGGCCATCAGTAGCTAAGGTTTAGGGGAGTCAAAAGTTATACACAGATTTTCAACTGTTCAGGGGGTCAGTGCCCCTAACCCTCCATGTCTCCACATTGTTCAGGGTCAACCATACATGTAAAAAAATTACATATATGTATATACACACACAAATAAACAAAGAAACAGACACACATAAGTGCTGACTGGAAAATAACTAAATTCTAAGGGCAGCTACGCTCTTACTACAAGAGTGAGTTATGTAAACTGAATCAAAGGTCATGCTTCCACAAATGGCTTCACCTTATTCCACTCCTCTAATACGTATAAAGTCACCACTTCTACCCAGATTGGGTTACTCAGAACTAACAATACACTCTTTATTCCCATTTATATATATCATCAAAAGTATCTCCAAACTTTCAGGTCAATGCCCAATTTTCACATTCTAATCTCATAAGGCTCTGTATATCTGCTATTCTTTCCTCAAGGCACCATATACCCTTAATATATGAAACCTTTCCTTTGTGCCAAAAAAAAAGTAATTAGATACGTATTTGGTATAAAAATATATTTTCTCCTACTCAAAAGTAGAGAAAATAGTATGATATAGCTCCATGCACCCATCCTACAACAAACCTCAGATTCAACAGTTTTCAAGATTTTCTACTTTTGCTTCATCTACCCTTTATTTCTTTGCTGGAGTACCTTCAACCAAATCTCAGCCATCATCATTTCATGCCACATACTTCAGTGCACAGCTCTAACAAATGGACAGTGAAGAGTAATTTTAATTGAATCAATTTGTAACTATAAAATCTATGAAAACTGACCTAATACCATAACCAATAGGCCATAAAAACTTTTGAAGTGCAGCTGATAGCATCGAGAAAGTGAAAAGACAACCTACAAAATGGGAGAAAATATTTGCAAATCATCTATGTTAAGGGACTGGGAGTCAGACTTCATAAAGAATTTTTACAATTCAACAAAAAAATTTTTTTAAGCAGCTAAAGGGAACGAAAGTATATAATATTTAAATTCTCAATTCTCAAAAACTCTGAATTACATTGAATTGAATTGAATTGTGGTATATACAAATTGAATTGTGGTATATACAAATGACCCAACTAAAAATGAGCAAAAAGGGGCGCGTGGGTGCTCAGTCAGTTAAGTGTCCGACTCTTGGTTTCAGCTCAGGTCATGATCTCAGGGTCATGAAACTGAACCCTGCATCCTAATTTTACCACTGCGCTCAGCATGGAATATGCTTGGGATTCTCTCTCTCTCTCTCTCCCTCTGCTCCTCCCCCAACTTGCATGCTCCCTCTCTCTCTCTCTCTCAAATAAATAAATAAATAAAATATTTTTTTAAAATGAGCAAATGATTTGAATAAACATTTCTCCAAAGAAAATATATAGTCAATAAGCACTTGAAAATATGCTCAACATTATTAATCACTAGGGAAATGCAAATCAAGACTCAAATGAGATACTACTTCATTATGCACTTGGATGGCTACAATTTTTATAAAATCAACAGAAAATAACAATTATTCTTGAGGATATAGAGAAATTGGAACTCTTATGCCTTGCTGGAGAGAATGTAAAATGGGAATAGCTGCCTTTAAAAACTGTTTGGCAGGGGTGCCTGGTTGGCGCAGTCAGTTAAAGCATCCGACTTTTGGTTTCGGCTCAGGTCATGATCTCAGGGTCATGAAATCGAGCCCTGTGTCGGGCCCCACACTCAGTATGGAGTCAGCTTGAGATTCTCTCTCTCCCTCTCTCTCCCTCCCACTCGTGCTGTCTCTCTATCAAATAAATAAAATAAAGTAAAATAAAATAAATAAAAGCTGTTTGGCAGTTCCTCAAAAAGTTAAACATAAAGTTACCAAATGAACCAGCAGTTCTACTTCAAGAGAAATACCTTCCACATACTTCCACACAGAATCTATACATGAATGCTTATAAGCAGTATTAGTTATTAGTAGCCAGAAAGCAGAAACAATGCAAATGTCCATTAATTGATGAATGGACAAAGAAAGTGTGGTATATACAAACAATGGAATTTTAGTTGGCCATAAAGAATGAAGTACTGATGCATGCTACAATACTGAGGGACCTTGCCAACATATGCTAAATGAAAGAAGCCAGTCACAAAAGACTGTAACATTGTATGATTTCATTTACGTGAAGTATCCAGCATAGGCAAATCCATAGAGACAAAAAATAGATTTGTGGTTGCATAGGGTTGGGGAAAAAATGGAAAGTAACTTCTCTGGGGTGATGAAAATGTTCTTAAGTTGGTTGTGATGTGGTTGCAAAATTCTATGAATACAGTGATTTGGACACTTTAAATGTATAACATTTTTTATCATTAGGGAACTACAAATCAAATAGGAGTCAACCAACTGTATATCTCAAAGATTTTTTCTTAAAAAAAAAAACAAAAACACCGCTGAAACCATTAGAATTTAGTGTTTTCTGAAACTCTAGAAATCTTTTTGATTCAGCTAGAGAACATTCAGAGAATACTGGACGCCTGACTGAAGACAAATGGAAATAATTACAACCCAAGTGTGGAAAGACTAAAATATATTAAAATCTGAAGGGCTGCCATTTGCGTTATGTGTCAGGTGATGTGCCATCCTAATTTTACCACTGACTGAGCTGTATTAGAGTCACAGGACCAGAAAATGTCAGTGCTCTGATTTCCCCTGAGGTCTCTCCTCTAGCTTCAGCTTGGCTGCGGAAAGTAAGGAGTTGTAGCCAAAAAGGGTAATGGGTGAGAGAATCCAGTGCTACAAGTGTTTCCTGAATGAACCCTGGTAGAGAGGAAGAGGGAGGCAGAAAACTTTCAAGTTATCACTTTTGTACCCTTGTGAAGAAACACTCATATTTATGGAGAAATGATTCTATGTCATTTTACGATGTTACTAAAATCAAAAAGAGAAAATATTTCCAACTTTGGAAAATCGTACCCCACACCAGCGACTTCTTTCAAACTCGGGGCTTCATCCTCCGCCTTCCCTGACGTAGAGTTCTTCGGAACTACCCGTTTTCTGACTATCTTTCAAGAGAGCAATTCGCGCGACACTTGGACAGCGAACACCAGCCAGGAGACTGCGCGCTGGGGAAACTCGAGCCTCAGCCTCTGCGCGTGCGCACCGCTTCTCTTTCCGCCTCCGCTTGGAAACCTCAGCTCGGAGGTCGGTGGGTCGTGGGAGGCGGCTTCTTTTTGTACAGTGTGTCGTTTGTTGAGTCGGGTTTCCAGAGTTTCCACGCCACCTGTGAAGGTCCGCCGCGGTGGCCCACGGCTCCGCGCCTCCGCGGTTGGCCGTCGCCATGACAGCGACCGCTGGGGGCCCTGGTAAGCGCGGATCCCGCGTCTGTGGGTCCCTGAAGGGCTGCACACGATTGGCTCGCAGCCCTACACTTTCTCTGGCCTGCGGCCTATAGTTGGAGCGCTTTGAGAGACTCCCCTGGCAGCACCACTCCCAGTTGCTGATGGGGGTCTGCATTCTCAGAGCGCGCACCATGGACTGGCCTAGAATGTTGGTTCCTCGCGTGGGTGTTAAGAGAAAAGCCAGTGAGGCGGCCAAGAATAGCAAGAATATTGGGCCCTTTTTAACAAGGAATTCTTTTTTAGGGTAGTTTTGGGTTCATAGGGTAATTGACCTGGAAGACAGATTCTCCATATACCACTTACCTGAACACATGTAGAGCCTCCCCATTATCAACAGTTCCTATTCTTGGGCATCTACGTTGACACATCATAATCAAAGTATCCATATTTTACTTTTGGGTTCACTGTTGGTGGTGTACGTTCTTCTGATTTAGACAAGTGTATAATGCCTTGTATCCCTCATTATGGTATCATACAAAATAGTTCCACTGATCCCCAAATCCTCTGTGCTCCACTTATTCACACCCACCTCCTACAACCACTGATCATTGTTTTGTCTTTTCCAGAATGTCGTGTAGTTGGAATCATACAGTATGTAGCCTTTTCAAATTGACTTCTTTCACTTAATAGTATGCATTTAAGGTTCTTCCATGACTTGAGAGCTCATTTCTTTTTAGCACTGAGTAATACTCCTGGTCAGTTGTCTGGATGTAGCAATGTTTATTTATCTATTTATCTATTCACCCATTGAAAGACATCTTGGTTGCTTCTAATTTTTGGCAGTTATGAATAAAGCCGATGTAAACATCTATGTGCAGGTTTTTGTATGGACTTAAGTTTTCAAGTCCATACAAAATATCGGGTAAATATCAAGGAACACAATTGTTGGATTGTATGGTAAGAGTATGTTTAGTTTTATAAGAAACTGCCTAACTTTTAAAGTGGGTGTACCATTTTGCATTCCCCCCAACAGTGAATGAAAGTTCCTCTTGCTCCACTCTCACCAGCATTCGGTGTTGTCAGTGTTCCAGATTTTGGCCATTCTAATAGGTGGGTTGTTGTACCTCATTATTCTTTTGTGTTTCTCTGATGACATATTATGTGGAGCACTTTTTCAAATGCTTGACATTTCTTTATATTTGGTGATAAAGTCATTGGTCCATTTTTAAAGTAAAGTTTATTTTCTTATTGTTTGAGTTTTAAGTATTAATATTTTGGATAACAGTCCAATATCAGATGTGCCTTTTGCAAATATTTTCTGCCAGTCTTTGGCTTGTCTTCTCATTTTCTTGATAGTGACTTTTGTAGAGCAAAAGTTTTTTCATTTTAATGAGGTCTAGCTTACCTATTATGTCTTTTATGGATGGTGCCTTTGGTGTTGTATCTAAAAAGTCATCACCATACCCAAGGTCATCTAGGTTTTCTCCTATATTATCTTATAGGAGTTTTATAGTTTTGCATTTAATTTTTGTGAAGGATGCAAGATCTGTTTCTAGATTCATTGTTTTCCATGTGGATGTCCAGTTGTTCAGCATCATTGTTACAAAGATTATCTTTACTCCATTGTATTGCCTTTGTTCCTTTGTCAAAGATAAGTTGACTCTGTATTTACAGGGTGTTTACTTCAGGGCTGTCTGTTCTATTCCATTGATCTATGTGTCTGTTTTTTTCACCAATACTGCCCTGACTTAATTACTGTAGCTTTATAGTAAGTCTTGATGTTGGGTAGTGTCACTTCTTTGTTATTCTCCCTCAGGATTGTGTTGGCTATTCTGGTTTTTAGGCCCTCCATATAAACTTTTGAATCAGTTTGTCAATATCTATAAAATAGCTTAGTGGGATTTTGATTGTGATTGCTTGAATCTGTACATCAAGTTGGAAGAACTGACATCTTGACAATATTGAGTCTTTCTATCCATGAACATGGAATATCTCCATTTAATTCTTTGATTTCATTTATCAGAGTTTTGTGGTTTTCTTTTTATAGGTCTTAGACATATTTTGTTAGGTTTATACCTAAGTATTTTTGGGTTTTTGGGTGCTAATGTAAATGGTATAGTGTTTTTCATTTCAAATTCCACTTGTTTTTTGCTGGTAAGTAGAAAAACAATTGACTTTTATATATTAACCTTGTATCCTTCAATCTTGCAACAATCACTTATTAATTCTGGGAGTTTTTGTGTAGATTCTTTCAGATTCTTTGCATATATAATCATGTCATCTGTGAACAAAGACTTTTATATCTTCTTCCCCAATCTGTATACTTTTTATTTACTTTTATTGTCTTGGTGCATAACTAGTACTTCTAGTATGATGTTGAAAAGGAGTGGGTGAGGGGGTAGACTGTTACATCTTGAGGTCCTGGTTGAAAGTGACATTTACCTGATCTGTAATTTCATTCGATCAAATGGGGAGTAGTTTTGGTCAGTCCGATTTCTCTTGGAATTGGGTGAGAGTGAGAAATGAAGACAAAGGGATGTGGTCAAGAATTATTCCAGCTTTTTGTTATACAATTTTCAGAAGCTGGTAATTAGTGTGTCCCTGTCCTTTCACCCCAGAGTTAGAGGTGTTTTAAACCAGGCATTCTACTCCAGAAGGTTACATTATCTTTTTTTTTTAAAGATTTATTTATTTATTTGAGAGATATCAAGGGGGCTGGAGAGGGAGAGGGAGAGAATCTTAAGCAGATTCCCTGCTGAGCAAGGAGCTGGATGCGGGGCTCGATCCCAGGACCCTGAGATCATGACCCGAGCCGAAATCAAGAGGCAGATGTTTTACTGAGCTCCCCAGGGGCCCTAACTGACTGAGCCACCCAGGGGCCTCCAGAGGGTTACAGTATCTTTTACATAAACCTAAGTAGTCACATTAGACAGCTTTGGTGACGTATTCTTTTTTCAGCCTAAGTTTTTTCCTGATTGTAAACATAATATATGCTCATTATAGAACATTTGTAAAATACATTGAAGTAGGAAAAAAAGTCCACACAATGCCAATAGTAACTTTTTGATATATTTTCTAATGTGACTGGTAAAATAAAATGGAATAACTTATGTCAAGGGGTTTTAAAATGGAGCCAGAAGGCCATTAAGGAGGAGGGCCTTATGCACATTCTCATCACGTAGAACCCTGAACTTTTGAACTGGGCTAAACTGCAAATATTCCAAGGACTCTGCACGAATACCTGCAACTTACTGCAGTAACAGACTTTTTCTTAGTGATAGCCTTAGCAACCAGTTATGTTTAGCTAAGATTAATTTTCTGCCATCAAGACCAATTAAAATTTTTTGTAAACAATATATAGAAGCTTTTTTTTTTTTTTGTCTTTAAAAACCCCTGGCTTTGAGTTTTTTAAAAAACTCCCCAAATTGCAGTTTTCACACCCCAACTAAATGCTTTTATTTCAGCTCTGCCTCTTCTCTTGATTGACACTAACAGTCCTGACTTTTAAGAACATGGTATACACGCCACCATATACTATATATCTCTTTTTTGGTTTTCTCCAACTTTTTTTAATATACAAACTACTTTTTTAGAGCATTAGTTTTTAGTTGCTAGAACAGCACAAACTTATTATCTTATAGTTCTGTAGGTCAGAAGTCTGAAATGGTCTCACCTAAAATCAAAGTGGCAGCATGACTGCATTCCTTCTGGAAGCTCTAGGAGAGATCAGTGTTTTTGCCTTTACCATCCTCTGGAGACTGCTTGAGTTCCTTGGCTCATGGTTTCTTCCTCCATTTCAGAGGCAGCAATGGCTGGTTCAGTCTTTTTCACATTGTATCACTCTGACACAGACTCTCCTGCCTTTCTCTTTCACTTATAAGGATCTTGTGATTCAGTGGGCCCACCTGGGTAATCCCAGCTCATCTCCCCACCTCAAAGTCAGCTGAGTAGCAACCGTAATTCTGTTTGTCACCTTAATTACCCTTGCTATGTAATATAACATATTCACAGTTTACAGGAATTAGGATGTGGACATCTTTGGGTGGGGGTCATTATTCTTCCTGCCACAGTACCCATACAAATTGTTCTCCATTGTGCTTTTTTCCCAATTAACATATCTTTAAGATTGTATCAATATATACAGATTTGCCTCATTCTTTTTAATGGCTGCATAATGTTCCTTTGCATGGATATACCATAATTTATTTAATGAATCCACTGTTGATGGATATTTAGGTTATTTTCACTCTTGCTATTACAAACAATGTGATAGCAAATATCTTTGCATCAAATGTGTCATTTCCCACATATAAGCGTATCTGTCTATGGGATAAGTTTATGAAAGTGGAATTTCTGGGTCAAAGGGTAAATGTGTTTTTTTAACTTTTTCTTTTTAAAAAATCTTTATATACACATTTAATACAATCCCTATCAAAATACCATCAACTTTTTTCAAGGGGATGGAACAAAAAATCCTAAAATTTGTATGGAACCAGAAAAGACCCTGAATAGCCAGAGGAATGTTGAAAAAGAAAAGCAAACCTGGTGGCATCACAATTCCAGACTTCAGGCTCTATTACAAAGCTATAATCATCGAGACAGTATGGTACTGGCATAAAAACAGACACGTAGATCAATGGAACAGAACAGAGAGCCCAGAAATGGACCCTCAACTCTATGGTCAACTAATCTTCGACAAAGCAGGAAAGAATGTCCAATGG